ATAAAATTTAGAAAACCCTCCAAAAACCTAAGCTAGGAAATCTCAAATCCCCAGGAGGGCTGTCCTCTCGTACCTGTCCAAAGACAAGGACAGGGGCATCAGATCGAGCCTATGGAAACATTCGTGTTACCCTCCCTCGCCCTACCTCTGCCTGCCGCGCAGCGGGCTCAGTCAGCGCCCTGAGTGCCTTCCTCAGTCCCACTCTGCCCCAAGGCTCCTATGCTCAGTTCTCCCAGGCTCTCCGCAGGATCCGTGCTGTGCGTTGGCTTTCCTGAGTGAAGGTAATCCTCAGCTGGGCGCTGCTCTGCTGGGGTACCTCCCGCTGCCGCCTCGGAGCCCTCCCGAGATGGGTCCTTCAAAGGCTCCAACAGGTCCGTGTCTGCCCGGGGTGCGTGGGCACACAGGTCCTGCACCTTCTTATTGAGGTCGTTGCGCTCCGTTTGCAGGGCTCGGCACAGTTTCTCCAAGCGCTGGATTTTCACCTGAAGCCCCTCTAACTCTTTGTCCCGAAGGGTTTTCTGCAAATAGAGAGGCAGTTCAGACTACCGCGCTGGGGATGGAGAGGCAGAAAGGGAGTGAGATGAAACCTCAAAGCAAAGCTCAAGGGGGAAATATTTGCGACCCAGCAAATATTTGGCATTCAAAGAACCTCATGCTCTCATCACTGCTTCTTTCTTCCTTTGCCCCCACACAGGCCAAGTGCCACTGAGGCTGTCCGACTTCTTCCACACACCTCTGCACTAATTAACCATCACTTCTGCCACGTGACAGAGGGCTCCTCCCGCCAGGTACAGGGAAGGGAAGCAAACTGAAAGGAAAAACCACAACCCTCCACCCAGCCTGCCTGCAGTAAGACAGGAGCTGTCCTGCTAGCCCTCAGCCCCAGCCCAAGGCCACACAACACATCACCACGCTGCGCCAGCTGCCTGCCTCGGCACGGAAGGACAGCCAGAGCCTCCTCACCTCTTCAGCCATTTCCAAGAGAGCCTTGTTGCTGCTCTCCCAGCGAGAGCGGTACATAGTGGTTTCTTTCTCCAGCTTCTTGATTTTCTTAGTCATCTACAGAATCACAGTGACAAAAAGGGAACGAGTAAGCCACAAGCAAAGCGCTGCAGTCAGTGACACCTCACGTGTCCTCAAACAGGCACCCACTATCCCAGCACAGACAGCGAGGTTCTGCTGTCCTGGGAAACGTCTCCTTGTCTCACTGCAGTCAGCTGTGCCACTGGGAAGCACTGACCAGGTAACAACAAACCAGGAGACGGGGGTAGCGCTGCCTGTTCTGACCCAGGTGGGGCACAGCAAGGATGGTAGCAATCTTCTGTGAGCAGCCAGCTTGGGGCTGACGCTAATACCAGCAAAACTAAACAAAACTACAGAGCTGCGGCTCTTCCAGCTCGCAGAAGCATTGAGGAGAGACAGACAGGCAGCACCTCCAGCCCACGCAAGCTCTGCGAGGCAGCAAAAGTGTTACCCACCTTCTCCATCTCCTGTTTAAATGTTGTGAACACTTCACTGCTTTTGGAAAGGGTGTTCTGGAATTCTTCAAACTTCTCTGTGTAGAGCGCCAGCTGCGGGGACAGACAGGGTTACAGCTCCTTCCTGCTCACCACAGCACCTCCTGACAGCCTTCCCCAGGAGAGGGGAGATGTCAACCAAGAACTGAGCTAGTTATCCTGTGACTGGACTTTATGACAAACAAACTGGCAGCACAGAGCTGCTTTGCCAACATTAGGTATGGAGGAATGTGGAAAAATTCGCTCCAGAAACATCCTCAGAGACTGACGTGTTCTGCAAACATCTCCTGGCCTTGGCAGGAGGCACTTGCTGGGTCTGATTCAGCGAGGTATGATCACACAACTGCTCCCAGCACTGAGAAATGTGCTGGTAAAAACCAAGGCCCCTTTCTCCCAGAAGGCAGAATTGCTGAAGGAAGTCCCAGCTCACACCACGCTGACACAGACTCACCAATACCAAACCCAGGAGCAATCCTGCCCCTGTGTTTTCCAGATTAAGGAACTTTGGGTTGTTCCCCGCTTAGGGAGGAAGGAAAAAAACCCAGGCTGAGCACAAAGACCGGGTAACTCACCTGCTGCTTGAGATGGGTCTCCTGCTGCTTCATCAGTTCACACATCCTCTGCGATTCCACAGCTTCCTTCAGGAGCTAGGGAAGAGCAAAGGCAGTTACCTCGCTGCCATCAAGGAAGGCTCTCAACATGGCCCTGCATGGCTGGCGCTTGGCCTGGAGACAGAAGCGGGCTGGGAGGAACACAAAGAGCAGAGCAGGGCTCCAGCCTTGCTCCTAGAGCCGCTGGGAGAGCGGTCACCGCTGGGCATGCAGGAGGCCGGATCTGATTTGGGCTCTGCACTCGGGGATCCAACAAGCCTCCACAGAAGGACAAGACAAAAAGCAAAAGCACTCACAACCATTACAGAACTGCTCCAAGACTTACAAAGTCCTTCTCCCGCTGGTGTCTCTCCTCTGCCTCCTTCAGCATCTCCTGCGCCTGCTGGAGCTTGGCATCCACTAGCTGCTGCTGCAGGTCCTTGTGTTTGAACACCTTATCAATGTGCTGCCAAGGGAACACCACCAGTCACTGACACAGACCAGCCCGTGCCTGCCCAAGCAGTGACCCCAAGGGAAGATCCCAGAGCCCAGAGGCCCCTTCTCCCCTCCAACAGCAAAATTGGGCGCACAGACACACCAGAGCTGCCCTACACCAGGTCTCCCGCCCTGACCCACCTCCTCCCGCAGCTCGTACTGCTCAATGAGCTTCTTGAGCCGCTCTGCCAGCTCCATGTTCTCCTGGCGCAGCTTGGAGTTCCTCTCGTTGTGCTGCTCCATCTGGAGCTGAATGTCGTTCAGCGTCACCTGGAAGTGGGAGGTCACCTCCTTCCGCTTCTCCTCTTCCTCCCGTGCACGCTGGACACCCTCCTCCTGCGTGGAGGGCAGAGACAGCAGGTACACGTCAGCCTCTGCGCTGGGCACGTAGGGAAGCAAACTGCCCAAACTGTGATGCTCTGAACCCGCCCAGCCTCCCACTAGTGCTTATATCAATCAGGAAGGGACTTTGGGCCCTTCCTCTCCCTTTCTCCAGCAAACATACCCTGAAATAACACTCAGGCACTGCAGATAATTAAAGTACAGCAAAATTAAAGTACTGCCCTGGATGGTAGACTGTGGGCAATCATTGGTAAAGGTAAGTTCGCCAAAATGGCTCACAGCAAGTGATCCAAGTGCTTGGGATGAAGCAGCTCCTGGAATAGCGCCCAGGAGACACTTGCCTTGAGGGTGCGGTTGTGTCTCTGGAGCTCGCGGCACAGGCTCTCCAGCTTGCTACGGGCTAGGATGGCCTTGCTGTGCTCGCTCTGCAGGTGGTCCTTCTCTTGCACCAGCTGCGTCTGCTTCTTCTGCAAGATCTTCATCTGTTTCTGGGAGTTACGGTGCTCTTCCAGCTAGGACAGGGGAGCAAAGGGCACAGATGCAGCAAGACAGACCAGGGCAACATGCTGTGCCTTGATGAGGAGACACGGGGATCAAGGAAGTGCTCTCTGCGCTCCGAGAGGAGGACAAGAGCTTTGCAATGCAAAAGATGCCACTTTTGAGCAGAGCGGGACTGATGCAGAGCCCAGGGTCCCCTGGACAGGGCCTTTCTCCTTCCTGAATTCCTGTCCTGCTGGAATCTGAAAGACTTGCACGTTCACCCAGCACCTCCAAACACAACTTGCTCAAATGGAGCAGAGCTCTGAGCACAAGGAAAACATGCACACGTCCACTTCGGACACGCACAGACAGTCCCATGCCTCTCCTCTGTACCAGATCCACGCACAGAACTAGATCTGTGCCTAGAACTAGCTCCGGTTAAGTGTGGCATCAGACTTTGTGTGTTTCGTACGACTGAATATGCACACGTAGCAGCATGGTGACTCTGCCAAATACATGTTTCTTGCTAGGAAATTATCAACAGAAATGCAGTGACTGAGTGGTGGAGATGGCAGACGTGCCTGTGCAGTCTTCTGTCACAGCTGGGCCTGCCAACCCACAGCTCAGCCCTGCCTGCAGAGAGATCGGGACACGCAGGCTCAGCAGAACAGACCTGGCCACAGTACACTCCTGGGACAGGATGGGCAAGAGATGCAGCTTCCACATTACAGAAGCAGAGAGAAAAATAGATCCAAGTCCTCTTACACACAGATTTGCCAAAAATACTCCTGTCTATGCTTATGCTTCCGCAAACAACACCACCCGGCTGGACCAAGCAACATCTATCCTCTAATATTTGGATATCCAGCACTGCAGAGATCCCAGAATGTACACTGCAAAGCCATGCATGTGCCTGGACTGTCCCTCTCGACATCAAGAAAGAAAAAAATCTACAGCCATCTTCTGCCTCTTCAAGCACCTCCTGTGCTCGCTGCTGCAGTGTCCTCCCCCAGCCCCAGAGCCTGGAACGAAGAAATAAGCACTCACCAGCTCAGCGTATTTCTTGCACAGTGCTGCTAGTTTCTCCTCCGGCGTGCTCAGGGTGTTCAGCGTCTGCATCAGCAAAGTGATTTCTTTGCCTGGAACGAGACATAGAATTTAAATAAATAAATAAATGCATAAAATAAAAATCACTCACACAGAGTTCTGGCTCATGAGGGCAAAGACAGGAGAGACAAACGAGGTCTCACAGCCGTGCCTGCCCTGGGCAAGAGCCACCATCTTCAGTGCCCTCTCAGGCCTCTGCCCCACAGATTTCACTGCGTACAGTGGGTGAATAATTGAAGCAGCTGGGGAGAGACCTGGTTTTCAGGGCGGGAAACCACCGCTGGGCTGGCTAGAGAGTTGTGTCCAGCAGAAGAGAAATCCACGGACTACAGAGGCTGCAGCAGCACCCAAGAGCAGCCAGTGCCTTTGCAGCACTCGGCACACATCCTCGCATACCACACAAGACGACACCGTATCGTTTCCAAATACTGCTGTACATCACACACCCAAGGTGCTCATTTCACTGAGGGCAATTAGGGCAGTATAAAAATCAATCTCTGCACAGAAGTTCTCAGGCCAGCAGCACAATCAGAGCAGGGAACCTCTTACCTAGGCCCTTGGCTTTCTTCTTTTCCTGAGCCTTCTTCTGATCTCGCTCCCCACACTCCTCGCCAGCTCGAAACTCTTCAGTCCCCTTTGTGCTTTCCTTCTCCCCGTTCATCTCAGGGCCACCCGTCTCCTGGTCACCGTTCCTTGGGGACTCGCTACGACACTTCTCGGCTTCTTCCGGCTCCGCGGGCTCGCTCTGCCCACCGTCCTCGCCTGGACCCTCCTGGCTGGCATCCACACAGTATGTGTTCAAGATGTCCTCAAGCTGTCTGCTTAGCTCTTCGGAGACATCACGCACGGCAGGCCGGGAGGATTTGGTGTCCTCCTGTGCAAGAGGAGCTGTGGGAGACGGGAACACAAAAGCATGAGACTTCCCCCACACCGTCTATTCTCTGGTCGCTATAAACACACGGCAAAGGGAAGGTTTCCCGAGCACCCCACTGCACCAAGGCCGGCTAAACTTCCAGCAACATAAGCTGCTTTGTTCTGGCTGCGTCTCTAGCCAGCTGCCCTGACAATGGAGGTGCATTCCTAACAGCCTCTCTTTTGATCACGAGAGCATGACCAAGCCCCTGACATCTGTCAAGAGCAAAAATCCACCCCCCTCAACTCCCCACCATCCCCTAAGGAAAGCAGGTTGTGCGTGAGCTTTCCCTCATAGGAACTGCCCGATAATATCCCCAGAGCCAGGCTTTTTTACATTACAATAGATTTTTAAACCTGGCTTAGCCTCTCTCCTCACATATAAGAGCAGCTGTACTGTCTGAGATCAAATGTATCTCGTCCCCAACAACAGACACTTAGGGAACGAGCAGGCAGCACATCCTTCAGTGCTCTTTGCTTCCAAAGTTTCTCCAAATGAGAGACTTACAGCCGTTAGTTGGTAAACTAACTCTACTCGCTGCGCATTTCCTACATCCCACATTTAGTAGGCATCAGAATACAACGCAGAGTTAATTTTAACCAAGCACCTACTCGATTAGACCTGGTTTTCGTCTTCCAGAGAATAATTTTTAAGAAGTGCCAGTAACAAGGCAGATCACTCAACATAACGCTGCCCCGAGGAAAGAGTTGTGGGCAATTTTCTGAATGGGACCCTTAAGGTTTAAGCAATGACAAACAACTCATCATTTTCAGGTGAGACTCAACTCCACGCTTTGGTCAGGAAGCAGTAACTACTTCAGAACTGTACACACACAGAAACAGGAAGAAACCAGGATTTTCTGCCCTGGAAATCACAGCTGCTCTTATACAAGTAAGAAGAGCTGGATCCAGCAGCCCACCCTCATACAGAGAAAGCAACACCCTGACTCTTTCCAGGCTCGAAACCCACCCTCACGCGCTTCCTGCGCCTCGCTGCTCGGGCTGTCAGCACTGCCATCAGCCGCGGGCAGGGAGCGGCGCAGCTCAGGCCCTGGGGACTTCCCACCTTCCGGGGGTGCTGCGGTCTCCAGCGAGTCGCCCTCCTCCAGCACCAGGCCGCTGCTCATTTTGGAAGAGCTGGCAGGGCGTGGGGCTGCTTTGGTCTCGCCGCCTTGATTCTTCATTGTGACAGTTCTCCCTGCTCAGTCTCGACAAACCCTAGAGAAAGAGAAACAGCAACTATATTCAATTTTAAGATGTAACAGTTTAGAGGATTTAGGAGTCAGCACCCTGGACTGGGAAGAAACTTGTTCTCGGCAGAGACTGCCACCCGCAGCTCCATGCTGAGGAAAGCATAATCTCATTTTCAATTTGCACCTCACAGCAAAGGTCTCTGTATCAGGATAACTTCCTTTCCAGCTGAGCAGACCTGGAAGCAGCATGGCAGCATCCTAGAGCATGGCAGCATCTCCCAACTCACAGACAGCACGCGGTTTTCCTAATCTGCTGGGCACAACCTTCTCAGCCCTGGCTGTCCCTCCCCCTCGCCCCCACTGTGTTTTACTCTTGGATTTCAAAACTCGGAGCAGTCTGTGCATGCTGACAGAAAAACCCCCTCCCTGCAGTGGGGGACCTGGAGACCAGACCCTCAACAGCAGAAAGGTCAACACCTACTAAAACCGCATACCTGGCTGAGGAAAGCCTGCAGCTCCCCGGCAGAGCTGGTGCTCAGCACTGAAAAGATTAACCAGCATCGCCATGAGCCAACGCTAACAGACCAAGCCCAAATCCCAGCTCCTCTCTCCTCGTCCTCTCTCCCTCCGCAGGGTACGTATGTTCTCACCCTTCCCACCCGCACCCTCTGCTCTAGTTTTTTAATTGCAGGGCAGAGCCAGCCAGTGCTCTTAGTCTAGAGGCAAGGCATTGTTCCACGAGAAGCAGAGAACGGCTTTTCTTGCGATTTTGCAGCAGTTATACAGAGACCTCATCTTTTCCTCAGAGAACAGCCCAGGACAGGGCTTACGAAGGAAAGACCCAAGAGAAAATTGGCAGCAGCCAAGCCCATGTGTCATCCACCCACGTGCAGGCTGGAGGCCGTGCCCCCTCCCACGGCAGGCCTGGCAGCACCGCTTCACGCCACACACATGCCCCGCAGCCTCGGGCGCTCTTTTTCCTCTGCTGCTGTAAATAGCGCAACTCCCGTGCGCTTCCCGAGGCTCC